GAGTCTCAAGGTCTCTCCTGCCCGGGCTGGCTTTGAACCATGATCCTCAGATCTCAGCCTCCTGAGTAGCTAGGATTACAGGCGTGAGCCACCAGCGCCGGGCATTATCTTTGGGTTTTTAAGAGAGGTGAAGGGGCGTCAAGATTAACAGATTAGATTGCTGTTTCTAGGGGTCATCTGTCAACAACTGATAGGAGAGTGGGTGATATAAAGCTCCCAATTTAGGGACCTGAGCATCAGTGGAAAATAAGAGGCAGAAACAGTCCTAGCAGCTCCAAAATTGTAGGCTGTTCTAGAGGCTGGAGTCACATAAGCTCTGTGATAAAACCCTAGCACCAAAGAAAGAGAAAAAGGAGAAAAGAGAAATATCTCAGCTGGGTGCTGGTGGCTCATGCCTGTAATCCTAGCTACTTAGGAGGCTGAGCTCTGAGGATCAAGGTTCAAAGTTCAAAGCCAATCCAGGCAGGAATGTCCTTGAGACTTTTATCACCCATTAACTGCCAGAAGAAGCCAGAAGTAGAGCTGTGGCTCAAGTGGTAGAGTGCTAGAGCATATCAGAGACAGTGCCCAGGCCCTGAATTCAAGCCCCAGTACTGACACAAGAAAAAAAGAAAAATCTTATGTTTTGCTTGCTTTGAGTTGTCTATGCTGAAAGTTTCTATTTTTAAGGGGATTGGTTACAGATGGGTGTTGGGAAGGAGGGGATTGGTAAACTTTAGGGAAATGGGAAGTTGAAAAAGAATGCATGGGGAAGAGTTCTACTGGACCAGCTGAGAAGGTAGAGAAAAGATTGGGTGAACTTGTCTGTTGTCAAGAGGGAAGGGGGGTGGCCAGGTCATTGGGGGAATAAAGCAAAACATAAACATTCAAGATTGAAGACCTGGATTTGAATTTCAGCTCTGAATGAGTTACTTAGTTTTTTCTCCCTGAATGCTTGGGTTTCATCATTCATAAAATGGTGATGACGATGTTTCCCCTCACAGGATAGTTACAACATTTATACAATATTGTGTGTAAAAATATTGTAAAATAAAAAGTACTTTTTCCAGGGTTATACTTGACCCATGTTAGTCACATGCACGCCATCAGACTTGATAAAGGCCCAGAAGCACCCAACTTCCCCTCTTGGAGGCCTGGGGTGAGTAACAGGACAAAGTAGCAGGAAGAATAATTTACATTTTGAATTTTGTTTGTGATTATTCTCTTGAGCTGTGGTCATCGCCCCAGTGTCAAGTACAAATGTATCTTACATGGTTTACGAAAGTGGATTTTTTTTTTTTTTGCATACTTAAGGGACAAAAGAAAGAAGTGAAGTTGAGAAGATGACCAGTAATAGAGCAATTGTCTTCCTCCCTTCCCCAGCTCACATCCTTCCTGTCCAGCTCTCAGCCACAGGTCACAGGACTTAGCAGAGACACTTTGTGGTTTCTTCACTGAAATTTGCCACTGCTTCTCTCCCCCCACCCTCTTTGGGCTCAGCTGAGGTTTTAGCCTCAGCCCAGTGAAGTCAGATGGGTCTTTGAGGTGGATGAGTGCTCAGTGGTGCTGAAAAGCGAGGTTGGGGCTGAGGATGTCTTCAACTCTAGTGCATTTAAGTCCCACAATAACAGAACCTTTCACACCTCCTGTCCTACAGCTATCCTAAGATGTGAAATAAAAGGGAAAGGTAAGAGAAATAAGAGTCCAACGAGGGAGACAGTTTCTTTCCTTAGGAGGCTCCCCTCCAGGTCCCATCCTCTCTCCCTGAGTACCATCTCTCCCTTCTCCAAGTACCTGACTCCTTGGGTACCCTCTGTCTCCTCAGCGGCCCTGGGAGAACCTCAGCTCTGCTATATCCTGGATGCCATCCTGTTTTTGTATGGTATTGTCCTCACCTTGCTCTACTGTCGACTCAAGGTAAGGCTGGGAGGAGAAATGAGAGAGTGGATTGGAGGAAGGGGTATATAAGGGGTTTTCCCATGGCATTTGGAGGGAAGGTGGATGAGCCTCTCATGTACCTTTATTTTCTCCCATTCAGGTCCAGGTGCGAAAGGCAGCTATAACCAGCTATGAGGTATGTCTCTTCAAGTTTTTAGGCTCTTAGCCCTTCTGGGGCTCCAGGTTTGGGTCAGAGGCCCCTAGCAGGGCATGTGTCTTGGATTCTGATCTGCATATAGCTCAGAGGCTCCCCTCTCCTCTGGCCTACCCATCCTGCCACTTAGCCAAGCTACAAGTATAGTATTCAGCAAGTGACAGGGGGAAATAAGCATAATGACAAAGAATACATGAGAGAATTGTGTGTTGATATATGTTTGTAGCTGTGTGGAGAAACTAATATTCGGTGTCAGAGCAATCGTGTGAGGACACTGTAGTCTAAGGGAGCTAACACTAACCCTAACCCAGGTACTCCTTGGATGGAAAAGGGGTGTTGAGGGGAAGTGTGGGTCTCTAATACCTTTTCCTTTCATCTCTACAGAAGTCAGAGGCTGTGTATACGGTGAGTCAACCTGCTGTCTCCAACCAGGGTTCAGCTGAAGACCATTTATTTATGTATTTATGTATGTGGGTGGGCTTGAACTCAGGGCTTGGTCTCTGTCCTTTCACCTTTTCACACAAGGCTGGTTCTCTACTACTTGAGCCATGCTCTACTTCTGGTTATTTGGTGGTTAGCTGAAGATAGATTCTTGGACTTCCTTGCCTGGGTTGGCTTCAAACCACATTTCTTAGATCTCAATCTTTTGAGTAGATAGGATTACAGGCATGAGCCATTGGTGCCTGGCAATAGTGGGGTTTTGAGTGACTTTCAGAGAGGGTAGGATCTATGTGATGGTGATGGGGTACTGGTGTTGGGCTCAAGCTCCTGATCATCCTTTGACTCTCACTTTCAGGGGCTGGACACCCGAACCCAGGAGACATATGAGACTCTGAAGCATGAGAAACCACCCCAGTAGCCTTAGAACAATTGTCCTTGGTCACATATTTCTTCATCTTCTAATTCTCCTTCCAGCCCTCATGGTTAGTGTTACATAATCCTATTCACTGCTTAAACCACCTGAATGTACCTCAGTAATGATAATAAGCCCCAAATTAACATACACCCGTGGTTCCTTTTTTCCTGTTAAAGACTTAAGCTCAGATGCTAGCTACTAATGTTTATTTTCTAAGTTACTCTCTTGCTCCAACTTTTTCCCCTTCCCCATTGTCAACTCCCACTAAACAATGGAAAGGGAGTACCTCAATAAAGCTGTTCCAGACTATATTTTAGTCATTTGTTTATTGTTTACTTATTTAGCCTCAACTAAGCATGAGGCCGGATACTAAATATGTAGCTGTCTTTTGTGTGTGCTAGTCCTGGGGCTTGAACTCAGGGCCTGAGTACAATCCCTCAGCTTTTGTGTTTAAGGTTAGCTCTCTATTTGAGTCTCAGGTCCTCTTCCAGCTTTTTTTTGGTCGGCTAATTGGAGATAACAGTCTCGTGAGCTGGGTGCCAGTGGCTTACACCTGTAATCTTAACTACTCAGGAGGCTGCAATCTGAGGATTGTTCAATGCCAGGCGGGCAGGGAAGTCCATGAGACTCTTATCTACAATAAACTACTCATAAAAAGCTGGAAGTGGTGCTGTAGCTCAAATGGTAGAGTGCTAGCCTTGAGCACTCAGGCCCTGAGTTCAAGCCCCAGGACCAGATCTCCACTTCTGAGAGCTATGATTACAGGTCTGAGCCACTGGCACTGACTTTGAATATGTAGTTTTGAGTAGGGCAAACTCAGCTCCTGATATCATACAACTCCCACTCCACGGATTCCAGGCCTGTTTTGACCAGTTGATTGCTAATTGTGTCTAGGGGAGGGGTGAGACCTTTGGCTCATAGGTGCTCAGAGATGCAGCTGGAGCAGGGAGAATACCAGACTGTACACTCTCTGAACTCCTACTCTGGTTAGGAATGTAGGCATTTTCAGGTACACTAAAATGTACAAAATTCCATACTCAATGGAGTCTTCTGGGGCTGGGTTGTGGGGAAGCCTATGTGTAATCCCAAATTGTTACCCAATGTATACATATAAGCTGCAAAGCCAAACATGCAGAAAGGATGAGTTGACAAGAGACCATTTCAGTCTATCACTTGAACCATAGCTCTACTTCTGGCTTTTTTGCTGGATGGAAAGAAGCATGTCATGGACTTTTCTGCCTGAGATGACTTTGAACTTGGATCCTCAGATCTTAGCCTCTCAAGTAGCTAGGATTACAAGCGTGAGCCAGTAGTGCCCAGCTTAATGGAAAGTTTTATGAGAGCATGAGAGCATTGAATTTTCAGGGGATTCTGGGGCAACAGGGACCTTAGAGAGCCAGATAGGGATTAGAGGTGAGTAATAAAAAGGGAAATAAGTTGGGTTCAGATCAAAACTCACATCTCTCAAACACAAAGCTGGTGTGAGGGTGGGGGTGGGGGCTAGGAGAGAACAAGGAATCCTCATCCAGTGCCTGCCCTGTTTCCACTGCCAGGAAGCTCTGCCTGGAAGCATTTAGACTTTCTCAGATGCCTCCAGTTCTATCTCTGACCTAGCAGTCCTTCCAGAGCAGCTCAGCTACCCCTGGCAATTCCTGTGCTGAACAGTCATTTGTGCTGCCTAGTGACTTACACTATTGAAACGATTTTTCAGCTATTTGTATGTACTATTTGAAATTAATATACCTGTCCAAGGTCATCTAGCAAGTGAGATAGAGATTTCTTAGTCATGTAGCAAATTTTGCTACATGAGGGGAAAAAAGTATATTGAAAGAAAAGGGGAGATGAATTCTTGTGAACAGTGAATCTTAGCAGAGACACTCCATCTGTCCATTTGGTTTCTTTGCAACCCACTCTCTCCCCCACCCCTGTGCCTCAGGACTGAGGTTTTGGTCTCAGCCCAATGAACTCAAATGAAATGCTCAATGGTGCCTGACTAAGGAGGTTGATTAAAATATGGGAGAAATTGGAGTCATCTCCAGTCTCTGGGGAGGAGGGGAAGATCATTTTAGATGAGTTACAAGAAATGAGCCAGAGTAGGGAAGTAACTGTTTTAAAATGGAGAATAGAGTATTTGCCTAGTATGCATGAGATTCTGAGTTCCAGTCCCAGTATTGTAAATAAAGAAGCAAGAACAATTATTTTTTGGAAATGTTTCATTTTTCTCATATCTTGCATTTTTGGGATTATGCACCTCTCCTCATCAATCCAACCAGATCTCCATCCATTTTGATTTAGTCCAATTAGCACAGATCTCAACATTTATCTAGTCCCACCCTTCTTCTAAGTTAGAGATCTGTCAGGCTTTTAAATGGCTACCATGTCTACAAGTTCCAAGCTCTAAAATGGCTACCATGCAAGTTCTATGGAGAATGGTGTGGGAGAGGCTTCTCAACACAGGGTCCAAATCAGAGAATGTGTGGATTTTAAAAACATTTTTAAAATTATCTTTAAGTAGTTGTATAAAATGGTTAAAATTTAACATGTCAATTTGTGAGCATAATGCATCTTGATTAGGGCCACCCCTTCTTTCCTTTTTTTTTCTTTTTAAAGAGTCTCACTATGCTGCCCATGTTAGTCTTTAAATTCCTGAGTTTAAGAAACCTTTCTGTCTCAACCTCACTGAATACTAGGATTTTAGGCATGCACTATGACTCTCAGCCAAATCAGAGGTGTGTGTGTGTGTGTGTGTGTGTGTGTGTGTGTGTGTGTGTGTGTGTGTGTGTGTGTGTGTATGTTCAGGTTCAAGTACTGAGGCTTAAACTCAAGACCTGTTCTCTTGCTCTTGATCAGCTTTTTCCACTCAAGGCTGGCACTCTACCACTTGAACCACACCTCCACTTATGGCTTTTTTGCTAGCTAATTGAAGTGAACAGTCTCAAAGATTTTTCTGTCCAGGCTGGCTTTGAACCTCAGATCTTGGCTTCCTAAGTTACAGGTGTGAACCACTGGTGCTCAGTCCAAATCAGAGAGTTTTTTTTATGTGTGTGCTGATATTGGGGTTTGAACTCAGGGCCTGGATACTGTCCCTTAGCTTATTCCACTCAGTGCTGGCACTCTATCACTTGAGCCATAGCTCCTCTTCCAACTTTTTGGTAGTTAATTGGAGATAAGTTAATTGGAGACTTCCCTACCCAGGCTGGTTTTGATCTACATCCCTCAGATCTCAGCTTCCTGAGTAGCTAGCATTACTAGTAGCATGAGCTACTAGGGCCAGCGGATCAGAGGATTTTGGGGGAGGGGATAAGAAGTGTTGCCAGTCATGGGGCTTGAACTCAGGGCCTGGGCTCTGTACCTGAGCCTCTCTGCTCAAGGCTAGCCCTCTACCACTTGAGCCACAGTACCACTTCTGACCTTTTCTGAGTAATTTATTTGGAAATAAGAGTCTCATAGACTTTCCTGTCAGAACTGGCTTTGAACCTTGAGCCTCAGATCTCAGCCTGCTGAGCAGCTAGGATTACAGGTGAGAGCCATTGGCACTGAGCAAATCGGAGAGTTTTTTTTTTTTTTTGTCAGTCGTGGGCCTGAACTCTGGGCCTAGGCACTGTCCCCCAGCTCTTCAGCTCAAGGCCAGTGCTCTACCACTTGAATCACAGCACCACTTCCGGCTTTTTCTGCTTATGTGGTGCTGAGGAATCAAACCCAGGGCCTCATGTATGCAAGGCAAGCACTCTACTACTGAGCCACCTTCCCAGCCCCAGAGAGGTTTTGAATGGAGGAGTTATAGCAATTTTGGGGATGGGCAGTGGCTCCTTATTTCTCTTCATAAAATGACTAAAAAGAAATTTTGAACAATGTCTTCATTTCTAGTGACTTAGAAAGTTTATGAATTCAGTTTATGAATCCATGATATCTTCTATATTTTATATATTGTAGAGAAGCTGCAGAATAGTTCCCTGGTCTTGGGGAAGAATCACGGGCACTTCTACTCTATCACTACTATCATTTGTTGCTTGCCCTTCCCCTACTTCCTCCAAACCCTTCTCTTTTTAGAAGCAGAGTTTTCTTTTTTCTTCTGCCTTCCCCTCCCCAACTCGGCTACTTCTCTCAGTCACCCAAACACATGAGGCTTAGTTTGATTTCTTCTGCATTTATTGTAGAAAATGGGGTGTGGGGAGGAAGGAAGGTCTAGGCCTGGCCAATAGGTGTTCTAGAATTGAAAGACAATAATCTGGACGTCTCACTGGGTGGCAGGCTCTGTTTTTTGGGGATCCATAAGATTGCTCAAGAAGTTAAACAGACTAGTTCCAGCCTTCTTCACCAGGGGTGTCAGCTGTTGCTGTGTCTTTTCAAAGTAAGCCCTGGATAGGGGAGGGATCAAAGGTTAGTGTGAGAGACTCTGGTCATTAGAAGGGGCTTTGGTGGTGGTGAGGAGTGATTTTGCTCCTGAACTGTAGACTCCTGCTCCATCTTGGCAAAACAAAGCCCCTAGGAGGAAGCAAGCCTTCCACAGGGCAGAGAAACAGATTCTAGAGACTGGAATTCAAGGCCCAATTTCCACTTCTCCTATCTGTTCATAAAGGTGCATGGGAGCTTTATCTCTGAGCTCAGTTTATGAATCTGACCACCTTTCCTCCCCTGATTTATGGTCCCATAACCCTTGAACTCCATTTTTCTGATACTTACTGGGCTTGGGCCTGAAGCTCTGTGCCTTTGGCTTTCTCCACCAGGTCCTTGCCATAGTCAGTCATGGCCTGGAGGTAATGAGTGACCATGCTCTGCAGACTCGTTTCCTCTGCCTGTCTCCGAACCATAGCCCCTGCACATACACACACATACACACATGCACGTTCTTTTCAGCTGGGTCCCCAGCAATGAATCCTGGCCTCCTGCCACATTTTTTTTAGTACCCATTTCAACTCTCAGCCCTCTCCCCAGATCCAGCCAGATCTGTTACCTGGACTTTAGAGAGGCAATAATTTTCCTTTTGAACTCTTTAATTGCCAGATTTGAGCACTGGAGTACAAAATGATGGGACTCCCAGCACCTTCTCCTTTTTTGGGGGACAGGGAAGGGAGTTTCCTCCTCTCCATATTACATACCTTCAAGGCTACAGACAGTGAGGAACAGCACGGTGATTGCAAGCAACTTCATGGTGGTAATGGAGGAAAGGTGATCTAGGAACAGTGCTGATGGTGGGAAAGGACAGTGAAGCCAAATGGGCTTCTGCTCCTCTCCAAAGATAGCCCTATGTGAACACCCACTCCAACCTGGTTCCCTCCCTTTCCACAATTAAAGCCCCATCCTCTTTATATGCGGACTCCCACCATACCTAGTCAGTGTCTCTGTCCTCGGTGTCTATTCCTGGTCTATTTGGAGAGGCAAAGGCTATATACTTGTCTCCTTCTCCACTCCCATCAGGTGACAGAGACTGTGGGGAGGTCCAGTGGGGCAGGGATCATGTTGGAATAAACAAGCTGAAAAAAATGGGGGAGGAGAGGATAATCAATGGGGGACTAATGCAATATTGTCAGAGATAGGGCCTTCAGGACTTGATGAAGACTGAGAGTCCATTCTGGGTCTGTTTAAGATTTTTTCTTCTGAGATTTTGTTAGAATCCTTGGATTTGTATGTAGTAAATTAGCATGGTTCACTGTTTTCTCTCCCTCTCCCTCCCTCTCCTTCCTCTTTTTCCTTTTCTTTGTGTGCTGGTTCTGGGACTTGAACTCAGGGCCTAAGTGCTGTTCATAGGCTTTTCCACTCAAGGCTATTCCTATACCACTTGAGCCACAACTCCAGTTCTGGCTTTCTGGTAGTTAATTGGAGATAAGGGTCTCATGGACTTTTCAGCACAAGCTGGCTTTGAACCATGATCCTCAGATCTCAGCCTCCTGAGAAGCTAGGATTACAGGTATGAGCCACCAAACTTGGGCTTCTAGTTATTTTTCTGCAAATTTCTAACATGAAATAATCAACTCTGGGTATTTTTATTTTGTTATGGGTAGATTTTATCTCTCCACCCTACCTCCCCTTACTACAACTTGGAAGAGAGGGTAGTTGGGAATGGAAGAAAGGAAAAAAGTTAAAATTAGGGGCAGCAATGAAAAGAATTGGGGGTAGAAGTATGAGGGTCAGGGTCAGAGGACAGGTATAGACTCTGTCCCTTTTGAGTTAATATGTAATGAGATGAAGAGAAAACATGAGGGCCCAGAATAAACCTCCTGGGTGCTGATCAATGAGTATACCTTAACCCCAATAAAACAAACTCAGAAAACAGCCTCTGCCCTCCTCAGCAACCAGAGAATTCTGGCAGGAAAAGAGGTGAGTAAAAGACTTCTGCTAGGATAAAGGTTGAAGTTGCCTGGTCACTTGACCACCTTATCAGATCTTGGTAATGCTCAGGCAATATTGAATCAACAGGGGCAATAGTTCCCCAGTGTCGAAGGTCTTAGTTCTTGTCTCAGCCCTAATTGTGAGGGAGGGAAGAGAAGAGATACATTCCTCAGACTCGAAGTATTGAGGTGAGATCAACTAAAGTGATATCAGATGTATTTATACCTTTCACCCTTTTTGCCCCCAAAGCTTACTTCTTGAACATTCCTGAGAAATGGAGGAAGAGATGTGTGAAGCTGATAAGGGAGACAGCAACTAAAGACAAAAACTACTCCATTTCCAGCTATTTTCCCAGTAGTGCACACAGAGTTTAAGGGTCACTCCATTGCATGGCCCCTGTCTCTGCAGGTAGAAAGCATTTGTGGGCTGGAATTGTATTTCTAAGATTTTGTCGGCTCTGCCTGGAGCCTCAGAGAAGGAAGCATTTACACCAGAGGGCAACTGTTTCAGCAACCATCTCCCTATAACCAGCTTTTCTACTTACAAGGGTTCCTAGTCTTCAAGAAGGTAAACATAGAAGATGGGGGCTCATGCCTGTAATCCTAGCTACTCAGGAGGCTGAGATCTGAGGATCACAGTTCGAAACCAGCCTGGTTAGGAAAGTCCATGAGACTTTTATCTCCAATTAACTACCAAATTACCAAAAAGCTGGAAGTGGAGCCATTGCTCAAGTGGTAGAGTGTTAGCTTTGAAGAAAGAAGCTCAAGGTCAGTGCCCAGGCCCTGAGTTCAAGCCTCAGGACCTGTTTGTGCATACAAGTGTGCACATGAGCGCTCACGCACACACAAGCACACAAGCGCACACACACACACAGAGCAAACTCAGTTGCAGAAACCCAGAGGAACATATGCAGTCTGTGACCTAGAGGAGAGCTGTACAATGGAAGGCTGTGAGAGTCCCCTAGCAGTTCTTTGTATAAGGGAAGGAGTAGGGCTGGGAAGGTGGCTCAGTGGTAGAGCACTTGCCTTGCATGCCTGAGGCCCTGGGTTCGATTCCTCAGCACCACATAAGCAAAAAGAAAAAAGCCGGAAGTGGCGCTGTGGCTCAAGTGGTAGAGTGCTAGCCTTGAGCTGAAGAGCTGAGGGACAGTGCCCAGGCCCAGAGTTCAGAAAAAAAAAAAAAAGGGAAGGAGTAATATGAACAAGGTCTTCACAGTCATTCCTATATTCACCCTTCACAAAATCCAAGTCTCCAGAGTGTAGTTTTGAAGCTAGGCATTTAGATCCCAGGCCCAAAGTCCAGGAGCCCCAAAGTAGGTCTGGATACTTTGCCTCTATATGCCAAATAAAGAGACATGATGAAGGCAGAGAAAAGAGATTTATTATCTGGCTGCCATGGGAAGACAGTACTTCAGTACATCCTCAAAGGTAGAGATATTGGCTTCTGGTTAAATAGGGAGAATTGTGGATGAGTGAGAAAGGTATACATAGTTAAAACAATCCCAGGCCTCAGATATGGCCTGTTTGATTATGAGATTAGTCTTTGTCCTTAGATAAGTTCCAGAGAAGCTCTTTATTACTGGAACAGAATAGGAACAAGGTGGTCTTCTGAATGTTTAGCTGTTCCCTTTAAGATGGTAAGAAGAAAAGAAGATGTTGCTTGTTGGAGGGGTAAGAGTTTACTTTTCACACAAGATGGTTATTAATGAATCTGATCTTTCTTGGAGGCCATGATTGCAAAGTTGACTGCAGCAGAGAATATCTCAGATCAAAGAGCACAGAATCAAAGTTGGGGGAATTTTAGTTTATGGGACTCAGAAAAAGCATCTTTTAAGTTGCCTCTCAGTTTCACTTTTTTGCTCAGTGGAAGGAGCTTCAGTGATTAAAGAGACAAGATGCTCCCTCTAGTGTCCTGTATACTTGCAAGTTTATCCCAGCCTTGGAGAGGAGGCTGGGCGGGCCATCTAAGCTAAACCTGAGACTCGTTTAAAAAAATCACCAATCAAATCTCAGTTTAAGCAGGGCGTTATTGAAACTCACCGGCCATAAATCCTGCCAATCTTTTGCATGCTCCCCTCTCATTGGACAGTAGGAGATCGAGTTGTCTTTTTTATTCATCGATTGGGCGGGGCCAAATCAAGGAGGGGTTGGGGCTTTGATAGCTTACTTTGCCCGGTCTCAAAATGGCGCTCGTGGCCACGCTGGGAATACTGAGTGAAGCCGCATCCTGCCATCACTTAAGATGGCTGCCCCCATCAAGATGACCGGGGTGTGCCGAAAGGAAAGGGGCAACAGGATGATCTGAGATGTTAAGTGTTACTGTTTCATTGCATGCTTGGCCTTGGGCCGTGGGAACGAATTGCTGAAGACTAGGAAGCTAGGTAGAGTGTAGGTCAGTGTAGATTAGGATTAGATAGAGAAAGGACGGGGTGACAGGTGGAGGTGAGGGATCAAAGATGGGGCAGGAATGTGACTGGGTTTCAGTATCCCCATCGGTGTTCTCTCCTCCAACTCTTTCTCTTCCAGGTCTAGCATGAGGACCATGTGGAAGTTTCTGAACCCGGGGAGCCTGATGCTGGGCGGTGGGGCTCGTGGAGGGTAGAGGGAGCAATAGAATATTTTCCCAGGCTAACGCCGGCCCCTCCCTGTCCTCTGGACTGAAATGGGGAACACACTGGGCCTGGCGCCCATGGGGACTTTCCCCCGCCGGAGCCCCCGCCGAGAGGAACCGCTGCCTAACCCTGGAAGCTTCGATGAGCTACATCGACTATGCAAAGGTGAGAACTTGGTATTTGGGTGGCTCAAGTTGAAGGGGCAGAGGAGGGGAGGATCTTGAATGCCGACGTTCAGTGGTGGGAGCAGGAAAGGGGAGCTAACAGCTGGGGCATCCGGTGTCAGGGAGGGTCAGGTGTGCAAATAAAGTGGAATATTTTGATGCAGGACTTGAAAGGAGGTCAATTCCTCCAGTGCTTCATAGGGATTTGAAAGGAGAGACTACCCTTTTGGGCATGGATTGCTTGTCTGTGCTTATTCCTTCCCTCCTCCTACCCCCTTCAGATGTGTTCCCAGCACAAATGGAGGGAGTGAAGCTCGTTGTCAACAAGGTTCTGAGCAGCCATTTCCAGGTGCTCCACTTCTCTGGCCCTTTCTTACTACTCTTCCCTGCCTTTCCCAAATCCTTTTCTTTCCTTTGTATTCCAGGCTTTGCCAGGCTATTTGGAAAAAACGAGGGAGGATGGGGGTATTTCCTTATCTTCCTTGCCTGTGGGACTTGTTCCTTTAAATCTGGCGTCCCTCTGCATATGTTGGAATATTTGGAAATCTTAAGAGATCCCCTATATGAGGAGAAAATGAAGGGTGGGATGAGGAACTGAAATGAAGCAGCAATGCCGTCTCCTCCAATAAGTCCTCTTTCCTCAGGTGGCTCACACTGTGCACATGAGTGCCCTGGCCTTGCCAGGCTATCATCTCCATGCAGCCTATGCAGGAGACTGGCAGCTTAGCCCCACAGAGGTGAGAGCTCCACCATACCTCAATCAACTCCTTAAAATCCCACCTGGGTCTTGAGGAGGAAGTGTGTGTGTGTTTGTGTGTGTGTGTGTGTGTGTGTGTGTGTGTGTGTGTGTGTTATGAGAAAGAATGGGCAGTAATGGGATTCTCTGTATAACTTCTGAGAGGGAATGGGGTAGAGAAACATTTTTGTGTAAAGATGTCAGAGTTTGTCTTTGTGCTTCCACTAGGGGACGCTGAACAATGTTAATGAAATCCAATAATAATTGGGTTTAGGCTGATGGATGGATGCTTCCCAGCTCAACCTGTCTATACTCTTCAACAGGTGTTTCCCACTGTGGTAGGAGATATGGACAGCAGTGGCAGTCTCAATGCCCAGGTCCTGCTTCTGTTGGCAGAACGGCTTCGAGCTAAAGCTGTCTTCCAGGTGATCCATAGTTTTCTGTCTTTATCCACTGAGGCAGGTCAGGCTATCCTGAACTGGGTACCCAGGAGAAGGAGTAAAGACAATAGTGATCATAAAAAGAAGGAAGGAGATTTTATTTCTTGCTCTCCCCACCCAGACACAGCAGGCCAAATTCCTGACGTGGCAATTTGATGGCGAGTATCGAGGAGATGACTACACAGCTACTCTGACCCTAGGAAATCCTGACCTGATTGGAGAATCAGGTGAGGAGCTGAGATAGTTCTTTTGATCTTAGGTGTCCATTTCCTAACTTTGGCCATACAGCCTAATCTGTATAGTTTGGAGACTAGGAAAGGGGTTGCTTGGGCAGGCTGGGTTGGGGATTGTTGGAGGTGAAGGAGCAGGTTTGATTCTTGTTTCTATGGCTAATTCCATGTCTCCTCACTCCCTCACAGTGATCATGGTCGCTCACTTCCTACAGAGTCTCACTCATCGGCTGGTGCTGGGAGGAGAGCTAGTTTATCACCGGAGGCCAGGTGAAGAGGGAGCCATCTTGACTCTGGCTGGAAAGTATTCAGGTATGGGGCAAAGTGGAATAGTGATGAGGACAACCAATTCTGGAATTTTCTGGAACTCCTGACCAGTGTCCTATTATGGTAATGCTCCTTTCTCCTATATTTCCCCCCCTAGCTGTACATTGGGTAGCTACATTGAATGTGGGATCTGGTGGGGCCCATGCAAGTTATTACCACAGGGCAAATGAACAGGTAAGATTGTTGATATCATCCCCTTCCTTAGTAAATCAGTCATACCTTTTTTTTTTTTCCCAGTTCTGGGGCTTGAACTCTGATAATCTTTTATCTTGTCAAGCTTCTTCAGTCTCTGCTGCTCTGATATTCTTCCTCCTCAAAGTATACATTTCCATTCATGCTTTCATTCTGATGATCACATGTCAAGATCCCTTTATTTTTCACTGAGATGGGTTTTCCTATTACCGTTGTCTGTGTTTCTTAGGTTCAAGTTGGAGTGGAGTTTGAAGCAAACACAAGACTACAGGACACAACCTTCTCCTTTGGTTACCACCTGACTTTGCCCCAGGCCAACATGGTGTTTAGAGGTGAGGGTTATTTTGATCACATTTGGAAGTGGTGAGGGATTTGGGATTGAGGGAGGAAAGCTCTACCTTATTTCCACTAATTCCCTACTCTAAGCCTTGTTAAGTAATCTAATTAATATTCTCTCCCTTGACAGGCTTGGTGGATAGTAATTGGTGTGTAGGTGCTGTGCTGGAGAAGAAGATGCCCCCCCTTCCTGTCACCCTAGCACTTGGAGCTTTCCTCAATCACTGGCGCAACAGATTCCATTGTGGCTTCAGCATCACTGTGGGCTGAAGTTGTCCCAGAACCAGCCCCTACAGCAGCTGGAACCTCTGAGTCAGGTGCCTGAGGGCCAGAGACTAGGCCCCTCTCCAAAGCCCACCTTGCTGGGTGACTTCTAGGTCCCAGAAGCAGAGTGGGGGACAGGATCATGTCCTCCTCAGAACTGGAGCTGCCAGAAGGTCAGCTGATGAGGCTGTGGTTTGAAGCTCCCACTTCCGCCACCAGCTGCACTATCATCTTCCATATGCTCTTATGGTTCTGGACTAAAGGAGAAGGAGTAAGGCGTATGTCTGGATAAATTTGCCCCCTTCCATATTTTCCATTGGATTAAAGCTCCTAACCTTTCCGCTACAGAGCAGAAAAGTCTACATGGGATTAGCTCCCCATCCTGCTCTCCCATCTCAACAGTCTGCTAAAACTGAAGAAGTAGGGTTGAAGGGCTAAATATCTGGCACTATAAAACGGGGCCCACCCGTTCCCAGAAGAAGTTTTACCTCTTAAACCCTGAGGCTTCCTTCTTCACTGTCTTCTGTGCTTCCTCATTTTTGTTCCTATGATCCTCCTCCCTCTTGCCTCCCCTCAATTTCTCCCCATGACTGCATGAAGAGGCAGTTATTACTGTAGTCTTTGCATTGCAAGCACTGAGCTCTTTTTATACTGGTTCCAATATATGGTCCCATCCGTTTCAGCTTTCCAGTCCAGTGTGTCCCAGGTGGGTTGGGGAAGGAAGCAAGCATGGGTGTCAGCTACAGATCTCCTGGAGAAGTGGCATCATAGCAGACAGTCCCTGGATGCGCTGGATTTGGTACCAGTAAGCATTGTTAAGGCTCCGTAGCTCTGCTAACAGGCCCATCAGCTTTGCATACAGAAACCTATGGAGGAAACAGTGAGATCCTCATGGAAAAGGAAGAAAAAGAAGGCAGCTGGGAATCTAGTCCCAAGGTTCTAATTCCCTGTATTGTCCCTCAATGAAGCTAAGTCTGAACATTAGAAAAAAAAATCATAGCCTGACAAGAGAAATTTACTGAAAATTCTAAAGAACCCCAAGGGGGCCTCTGATACTGCTTTCTCTGTTTTTCCTGCACCTCAAGTTCAGAAGGCCAAGTATGAAGAAAGCCCTAGATTTGCCAGATCTTCAACTGTATAGAATTTGAGGGTCTATCTAACCTTCTAGAACTTGTTTTAGAAGGTGTGTGTGTGTGTATGTGTGTGTGTGTGTGTGTGTTCTGTGGTATAAAGTGCCCCCATTTTAGCAAACTCACTCATTGAGGAATGAGCAACACAAGTGACACATAGCTCACAGCATGGAGATCTTAGTCTACTGAAACAGGACCTGACTTTGGTCATAAAACTGTAAATGATGATAATTTCAAGGAAAATGACAACATACAAGGAACTGGTTCAGTGAAAAGGAGAGGAGGGGCCAAAGAAGAAGAGTGAACGAGACTCTTAAAAATCTGTGTTATGGGGCTGGGAAGGTGGCTCAGTAGTAGAGCGCTTGCCTTGCATGCCTGAGGCCCTGGGTTCGATTCCTCAGCACCACATAAGCAAAAAGAAAAAAGCCGGAAGTGGCGCTGTGGCTCAAGTGGTAGAGTGCTAGCCTTGAGCTGAAGAGCTGAGGGACAGCGCCCAGCCCAGAGTTCAGGCCCCATGACCGGACCCCAAAAAAAAAAAATCTGTGTTATTCTGGAGAAGTTGGAGTGGGGAGGTGATGGATATCATCAATCTCAGGAATGATATTAGACAGCTTGTTCTACTACTTTGCATCTCTACTGAATAAAAAGATCTGGAAAATGTGAGATGAAACGGTAGCAATAACAATTTGGATAATGGAATTGTGTGTGATGGGCATGGCCAGAGGGAAGGGACAAGAAACCTGGTTTCCTAAAGGAAAATATAGTTAAAAAAAAATCATCCTGGGGCTGGGAAGGTGGCTCAGTGGTAGAGTGCTTGTCTTGCATGCCTGAGGCCCTGGGTTCAATTCCTCAGCACCACATAAGCAAAAAGAAAAAAGCCGGAAGTGGTGCTGTGGCTCAAGTGGTAGAGCGCTAGCCTTGAGCTGAAGAGCTGAGGGACAGCGCCCAGGCCCAGAGTTCAGGCTCCACGACCGGACCCAAAAAAAAAAAAAACATCATCCTAAGGTCAGCGTTTCCCTTATCTCTTCTTTTCCAGTAAAACCTTCAAGCCCCCAGCATTTTCCTTACCTATTTCCAGGCCTTAGCTGTTGTTTCTTGATGTAGCTCTCCAGAGTCAGTGCCATCTCCTCTTGCAGCTGATCAATCTCTTCTCTTTTGGTAACTCCAGGCCGATCTAGAAGATAAGATAGGAGCTGGGAAGGACAAGGTTGCGGTGGGAAGGGGGAGACCTGTATACAGTGTCCAGGGATGGTGTATAGATTTTTCTGTAGGTTTGAAGGCTAGACAGCTGTGGGGGGAGGGGGGTGGTGCTGAGAGGTTGGGGAAGAGGTGGTGGGACAGAGTTTCTGGGCTTTGGGAAATGCTCACCAGGAGAGAAGAGGGCCATGGCAGCCATGAGTACATACTCTGGCTCCTGGAGTTGCAGTCGTTTCAGTGTCCCATGGAAATGAAAGAGTAACTCCATATATTCTTCCTGGAATCCCACTGTGAGAGGTATTTGACTTAGGACCTCCAGGCCACCCTAGCATATCCCATATCATAAGGATACTTGCCCTCTTCCTGTTATAGCCTTGTCTCACCATGGACTCCATCTTCCATTCTGTAGCGAAGAGGCCCACAGAGGAAGTTTTGTGTTTGGAGACAGAATGTAGTATTGAGTGAGATTTGACATATTTCTAAAGCAGCTCCCTTGAGAAGGGAGATTTGGTCTTCGATGGGCAGGGATCTATTGAGAACAGGAAACAATGACATTTTACTCAAATCTAAACTTCAGAGAGGGTAGGGAGCTTCTGGTCCTGGGTGACGCACTTAAACAAACCTTGGAATTCAAGACTTGGTGCTTAGAAAAGCTGAGAGGTGTGTTAATTTGATCAATGAGTTTTGGGGAGTGGTTTAGGGGTTGGTGTGTAATTTATGAAGCATTTACTCCCTGAAAGATGAGGTGAGGCCACTCACCGGAAAAGAGGTAGATCCTTGGTAAACTTGATGATTTGCTGCACCATGAAAGTGTTGATATCTGCAAAGTGTGCAAGCAGAGGGAGCACAGGGGCCAAGGAGGTCAGGGGCTGGCGGTGATCGATGAACAGGTAAGCTGGAGGCTGCAGAGATCAGAGCCATGAGTGAGAGGCCCTGGCTCTAGACTTTCCCTCTAGGCCTTGCCAGCCTTATCTTCGAAGGGTTCTTTGTTGAAGACCCTGACCAGGCTGGGGTTTTCTCTCTTGGTGCATATCATGAAGCCCTCTCCTTCAGGTCACCTCCTTAGGAACCCTTTTGGTTACTTTCCAGCCCAAATCCTGTAAGTGCTCACCCTGAACTGCACAAACTGGTCAAACATGGTGCTCATGTGGCGAGTGTGGGCTCCCAGGAGGATCTGGACTAGCTCTTTCTGTTCCTTACTCAGTTGTATAGGTGTTTGCTGTACCCGCCGCTGCGCCTGCCTTGCTCGTCGCAACGCCAGGGCTTCTGCTGACAGTATCACTGTGTCAAGCAAGATATACAACAAAACAATTGAAGTCAACACAGAGCATCTTTCTGATAGTCCTTGATATGGAGCTCCTTGCTGCAATGCATGAGGAAGGATTGGGGAGAGGAGAGTTTTTAAGGCTTCCTTGAACTTGGATGAATTAGAGGCTTCAGGTGGCAGGGGACTGCTGCACACCTCCAGTAACTTCCGTTATCTATGATTCCTTACCTTAGAAAACAATGCACTGTGCTGGGAATGTGGCTTAGTGGTAGAGTGCTTGCCTAGCATGCATGAAGCCCTGGGTTCAATTCCTTAGTACCACATATATAGAAAAAGCCAGAAATGGCACTGTGGTTCAACTGCTAGCCTTGAGCAAAAGAAGCTCAGGGACAGTGCCAAGGCCTTGAGTTCAAGCCTCAGGACTGGCCAAAAAGGAAAGAGAGAGAGAGAGAGAAAGAAAAAAAGAGAAAAAAGAAAGAATGCACTGTGGGAAAGAAGGAAAGTATGGAGAATAAAGAGGGAAAAGTGTAAGAAAAAGCTGGGTACAGTGGCACATACTTGTACTAACATATGGAAGGCTAATATAGTAAGATCATGCGTTAGAAGGCAGTCTGGTCTACCCAGAATGAGTCAAGACCAGCTTGGGCTGGTCAGATCCTGCCTCATACAGACAAAGCCAGAAGTGGCACTGTGGCTCAAGTGGTAGAGTGCCAGTCTTGAGCAAAAGAAGCTCGGGGACAGTGCTCAGGCACTGAGTTCAAGCCCAGGAGTGGCAAAAAAAAAAAAAAAAGAGGGTGAGAGAAAGGGAAACAAGGAAGGAGGGATAGGGATAGGGGAATGTGTTTGGAGATGCATTTGGCTTCTGGGGGACATTATACTGAAGAAAATCTTCATACTTAAAATGCCATCTTGTTTGTATAACATAATTTCAAAGGGGCTGAGATTAGATTTCACTAGATAAAACTACCTTATAGTAGATAGGGTAAAGATTTTTCTCTTTCCTTTTTTTTTTTTCACTCAAGGCTGGCACTCTACCAGGCACAGCTCCACTTCCGGCTTTTTGGTGGTTAATTGGATGTAAGTCTCACAGACTTTTCTGCCTTGGCTGCCTTCAAACCATGATCCTCAGATCTCAGCTTCCTAGGATTACAGGCATGAGTGAGTCACTGATTGCCAATGGGATTTGTATCTTTCAGAGATAAAAATAAGCTTAGATTCCAGAGGCAGTTCCTAGGTTGTAAAATAAGTGATATGGACTGATCATTGTCGTATTTTAATACATACAAACAAATTCTTTGACTCCTATCTCCAGGAAGTCTCTTGGCAAAAGTGGGAAGTGGTGCTGTGGCTCAAGTGGTAGAAGGCTAGCATTGAGCAAAAGAAGCTCAGGGAAAAGTGCCTAGCCCTAGAACTGGAGAGTGGGGGGGGGGGAGAGAGATGTATAGGAGAAAGGTATTTTAGGTACAGGTACTGGCAACTGTGAAAGTCTTAAGGAAGTGTGCTTGTGTTCAAAGATGGCAGTGAAGTTAGTATGTCTGGAATGGATTGAGCAAGGGTGAAGGGAAATAAAGTCTAAAAGGTGTGCAGAAGTTAGTCTATGAGATCATTTGCTTTAAGAGAGATAGGAGCTGTAGCAGATTTGAGTAGAAGAGTTACATAATCTAGCTGAGTGCCAGTGGTTCACGCCTGTCATCCTAGCTACTCAGGAAGCTGAGATCTGAGGATCACAGTTCAATTCCAGCCCGGGTAGGAAAATCTGTGAGATTCTTCTTTTCACTTAACCATCACAATCTAGAATTGGAGCTGTGGCACAAGTGGTAGAGTGCCAATTTTGAGCAAAACAACAACAAAAACCTAAGGGATAGTACCTAGGCCTTGAGTTCAAGCCCCAGTGCTGGCATAAACATAAATAAAAAGAGAACAGTGACATAAGCTAAAGAGTTCCAAAAAAGTTTATTCTGCCTGCTCCGTGAAAGTGTGCTATGGGGAGCAGAGAAACAGTTAATAAATTCTTGGGATGGTAAGGGATCAACTCACTGTCTTTCCTCATCCCAGCATTTAGACACTTCTGCAACCTGCAGGCTGGGCAGTGGCGCCTCTGGGCCTTGTTAACCTCACAGTTTCCAGCAAAGGGGCAGGTGGGACCAGTGCTTTTGCTGACTGTTCGTCTGTGAAAAAGAGAGAGAGACACGATTAGGACCTGGGATGGCAGTGAGCAGATATGTGCGAATGCAGGACTGAGAGGATATGAGTTAAAAGACTTGGCAATCTGGTGACATGGGTTAATCTGAGCTGTGTCCAAAGATCCTCAGGATTGGGCATGATCCATCTTAAGAATTTTCTTGAGAACACAGGACACTCAAAAACCATAGTTAATAGAATACTAGTTTGCTTCTTTGCAGGTAGTGGATTGTGTCCATAGCTTCCTATTATGCTATTGGTTTATCTATAGTGTTGTGGTTAGCAAGTAGTAGGGTGTTAGCCACAAGGTAGTTAGAATCAATTTCAGGAGTAATGTAGCTGGACAAGCCTAGGTGTGTGCCAGGGTTTAAAGGATTTGTGTGGGATGGGGATGGGGGAGGGGTAGAGAGGAGAGGACTGTTTCTCTTGGGGAGAAGACTCACCTGAAAAAACCCTTGCAGCCTTCACAAGTCAAAGCATGGAAATGATATCCGGTGGCTCGGTCCCCACACACCACACAGTTCCTTGGTTCATCTTTGCTATTTACCATGGCATCAGGTGTTAGGATGATTGTCACAGACGCCTGGGTGTGAGAGAAAAAGTCAGATCTAGGCCACGTTTTACCCTCTTCTCTCCCTTCTACAGAGTCTCTTCTCAAATCTGCCCTGCACCTATGCCCCAGCATTGTCTATACTAGAGGCAAGAAAGGTGCTTTTCATCTCTGGTCCTAAACCAATTTCCTACCTGCTCCTCTTAGACAACATGCCAAGACAGGCCACAGAATCTGGTGTGGAATGATTTTCCCCAAGCTCCAACGTTGACTCTGCTTTTATTTTGATCTCAAGGCTGCTAGGAGTTATGGATTATGGCTCTGAGTACCTGGAATACAAAGGACGTGTGTTACATGTAGCCTCCAGGTGCTTTTAATGCCCTGTGTAGGCAGGGCACAGACTCTGGACCTAGGGCAAAGAACTGGGTGGGAGGTTTTCCCAGCATGCCCAAGGTACTGGTTAGTGGCACAAGGGGAGGTACTCTGGTGGGTGGGGAGCTCATGACTCAGTAGAAGCTGCTCCTAATCAGATTCATGGACGTTCTTCTCCCTACTGCTGAGCTTCAGACTTAGAGCTGCAGCCTCTTCCTCTTCTGTACACTGATCCCAGGTAAACTGGGAAAAGAGAGATGTGGAGAGACAGCACACTTTTTTTTCACATGCAGCATGCCCAAAATAAGAGGAAGGGGTAATGATTGTGCCAGGCTACCCAAAAAGGAAGTGAAGTGTGTGTGTGTGTGTGTGTGTGTGTGTGTGTGAGAGAGAGAGCGAGAGAGAGAGAGAGAGAGAGAGAGAGAGAGTGATGCCAGTACTCAGGGCCTGTGCAGTGTCCCTGAGATTTTTTTGCTCACTATTACTTACGCTACAGTTTACTTCAGAGTTTTGGGTGGTTAATTAGAGATGAGTCTCGAAGATTTTCCTGCCTGGTCTGGCTTCAAACTATGATCCTCATATCTCAGCCTCCTGAGTAATTAGGATTTTAGGTGTGAGTCACTGGTGCCTGGCTTGCTCTGGTTATTTTTGAGATGGGTTCCCAATTTTACCTGGGACAAACCATGCTTTAATGACTAATTGGAGATGATGTCTCAAAAACCTTTTCTGACGAGGGTGGCTTCCATCTGTGATCTTCTAGACCCCGGCCTCCTAAGTAAGATTACATGTGTGAGCCACTGGCACTGCCTGAACTCTTAATTTGTTGTTGTTATTGTTATTGTTGTTTGTGCCAATCCTGGGGCTTGAACTCTGGGCCTGGGCACTGTCACTGACCTATGTTGACCATAAGCTAATATACTGCCATTTGAGCCACAGCTCCATTTCTTTCTTTCTTTCTTTTTTCCTTCCTTCCTTTCTTTCTTTCTTCCTTTTTCTTTCTTTTTTATTTTTTTTGGTCCATCATGGGGCTTGAACTCTGGGCCTGGGCGCTGTCCCTCAGCTCTTCAGCTCAAGGCTAGCACTCTACCACTTGAGCCACAGAGCCACTTCCAATTTTCTAGTGGTTTATTGGAGATAAGAGTCCCAGGGACTTTCCTTCCCCAGGCTGGCTTTGAATCTCAATCCTCAGATTTCAGCCTCCTAAGTAGCTAGGATTACAGACATGAGCCACGTGTGCCCCACTGCCGTTTCCGTTTCTGTTTTTTGTTTGATTTTTGTAATTAATTGGAGATGAGTCTCACAAACTTTCTTGCTCAGGCTGCCTTCTAACCTTGATCCTCAGATCAGCTTCTCTCCCGCACCCCTCCCCCAACCAACTCTCCCCCCCCCCCC